ACTTGACTTGACTTAATAATATAGTGTGAACAGTGTGCCCCGTAATTCAAGCTGCGAGCAATGATGTTTTGTTTATACAACTGTCAACATCTGGCGGTTATTCGGGTTGTGACACACAAATATTAGACCGACAGTTCTGCAGTCGGTTGTATCCACATTGAATCACTTCGTTATCAGATTATTTATTATAAATCTGCATTAGAGCGATCCATGAACTAAAACCCCTTTGATCCATGTTTATTCCCTGTCTATGGATGACGTTTCATCAAGTGGAATCGAGAAACAGCGCTAGAGGAGGCACTGAACAGCTGCTTCATGATTTATGAGATTGATGGATCAGTAGTGAAAATTATTTGTGTGTCTCTTTCGGGAATCGAGCTAAGAACTCTGGGATTGGAAGCTGAATCCTTATCTCTGAACTACACAATCACTGAATGTCAATAGGATAAATAATGCAATTGAAAGAGCTATCTTCTTGTTCGAATGAAATTGATTGACTTTACGCAATGAGGCTGTGTTTTACATGAGTATGCACTTACGGGAAAATCCGTATCACTTGGACACCAACCTCTCTCGAAAACAATTTTGCACAATTGTGTGCCTCAACGCTTTCAGGCAGCTATGAACTTTTTCAGTTTTACAAATATTGTGAAACGATTCTACCTTGCGATACAAATATTGGTGTTGGTGATTTCGCCGAGTTAGACGGGTTGTTCGAAAATGTTTCGTGGCCAAGCTAGGCAACATTATTAGTGCTATACCGGGAATTCGGACCAAACTCACACTAATGATGCTGTTGCCTAGCCAGGCCACAAAATGTCTACGAACAACAATTCCACGGCTCGGAGAACACACCGACACCAGCACTTTTTCATGGTATTATTTTTTCTGGTAATAAGAGGTAATAAAAGGAGATTTAGAATAGACTGCAAAATTAATTTGAAAAAAATCGGTTGTAATCTGGCTGATGGTTTACGGAGATATTTGAACACCAATTATCAACTGTCAAACATTATTTAATCTCTAAGTCGTATCTCTATATTCACACTGACCCCGTTGTATCACCACACAGTGACATGCAGACATACTGGGTTTTTTTCCGCTCGACAACACATCCCACTGCACTGGTTTTCGTGCTTTAATTCTCTCTCCCGTTTGAGTTACACTTGAGATTTTTACTCCTAGCAGTATCGCGTGTTATACAGAAACACTGAAGCTGTACGAGATGTCTCAAATGATTTGACGTGACGGGCACATCGATTAAACTTTCTCCAATCCACATGTGTTACAGCATGCAAACCCCACACCTTATTTCTTAACCAAACTTTGCAACATGAACATTTGTGGAAAATAATGGTTTTCAACATCCGTTGACTTCAGGATATTCCAATACTTGTTGATCTGAATCATCTACTGCGGTGTGAGTAAAGTTTGTGCGTCGAGACCAAACGACTACCGGTCTTGGCTAAATCATTTCGGATTTGGGCTAAATGATTACGGGTCGAGACTAAGAGAATTGTGTTTTGGCTTGATGGGAAAAGGTTTAGATAGGGAAATGCAGAGTGGAAAGTTTGCGAATTGTGTACGATTTGAAGGGTATTAGTCGGGAAGGAATAAACTGGTTGTGAAATTGTAACCAAATTGTCACGAAATGAAAAGAGTAGAAAATAGGTGATCCCTTTCTTTATAGGACAATATTGGACAGCCACTTGACTTGGAATAACGCTGAATGCCCCATTTTGGCTAATATCACCACTAAATGTAATGTATTCCTCATCTGCCAGGTTATTATTAGTTCATCCTGTGATATGATTCTTGGGTGCTCGGAAGAAACTGGTAAATGCCGTCTCTGGGATAGCCATGTGTCTACTGTCGGCCAGGTATTACAAAATTGAACTATTCAAGTTCCTCGGCGAAGAGTAGTTGAATCATTCCCAGATATTCTCTGGGTCAAACTCCCCGTTCAGAATTCTACATGATGCACACACGAGAAGTGCACATAAACTGATAGAGAACAAATAATTAGTACAAATGAGGTGATCAATGATAATAAATCTGTTCAACGGTGAATGATTTGGTTCCCTATGCCACTTTTTTGTGTTTCTCTCATTTTTTCGATGCTCTTTTGTTGATTATATAAAATGAGAGAAGACAAAGATACTGCGAGATGTTCATATTTCTTTCACTCTCCTCAGTCGTTAAAACGTTAGAACAATCTGGTATTTATACACGAAACTTTTTGACGACTACAAGGGTTCAGCTGAGATTATAGTGGGGCATTACCAATCTCCCCAAGGAGTGAAACCCACCCGCCTTCGAAGACTATCAAGAGTGCCCGGTGCTTCTGAATCCATCGAATGAATTAATTCAAGCTTGATACTCTAAAAACCTTGAATTTGTCAATTATTCCTATGCGTTTACATTTTCTCGGTCTGACAATATACAAATTAAACAAAAGTGAATAGATGGATTTCGTGTGGTGATCCCAGCCTGCGAGACGACGCATACTCTGGAGCGACGCTTTACAGTTTTTGGACAACTGCGATCAAACAAACTTCTCGGGTAACGTTAGCAAAGCGCGCACGTGTCACTGCTTCTGACTTCAAAAAGATCGTACCAGCCAATCAGAGACCGTGCGGCCCAAACAGAAGCAGAACGATGCAAGCAATAGTGGAACGCAATTGGTAGAAGCCCGGATAACCAATGAGCCTACTTTGTACATATTATTTAATTCCCGTTGTTTCTCCCAATAAGTGAACTACCATTCATGTGGCCTTCTTCTCGCATCTCAGTTACGTGGGATATTGCGTGCTAATCCTAGTGCGGTCCCGTGCTCACGTGATCCAGTCCACGATTGCTAATGCTCGATTCTTATTCCGTGGTTCGTATCCCGAGTTCAATGTGTATTACTACTACTACTACTTTGTTGTGTGCTGTGGTTCTGATCAAACACTCAACCATCCGCAATGAGAAGATGGGATATGTGGAATGCATGCTTGGAGCACGGATGAATAGAAATGTATAAGGTAAATGAAGAGTGCTGCCTGACAGTGTGCATCCACTAAGGCGTTACCCTTTTAATCAATTTTTATTGATCGCCCCAAGTTTCAATATTGAATTGAATGGATTTTCCTTCTAACCAAGAAGATCACATGACTTCGGCATTGATCGCTGAGTGGAAAAGCCTCTCATCCTCCTCACTGTTTCCCCATAAACAAGTGCGTAGGGTGTATCTTCAGTCTTTCCCGCTCCTCATATTCTACGGAATCTGCTAGCCTTTTTGATTGCACACCTTAGTGTGGTGAACACAGCAGACGGCGCAAACTCCATAGTCACGAAGATCTGGTGCTCTGTCGTGGATACCGGTAACCTAAATCCCGGGACTTGAAGTGGCTAACCACATAAGGCCCCACCAGGTTAAGCATGATATCGAACCGGACGACAGCAAAGCTGTCTATCATCAAAGCTAGGTGACAATGACGGGGCTTCAACCTCGGACAATACGGTTCAAAGCACATCGGTGCAAGCGACTAAATTATTGCGCCACCACCATTTAACTATAAACCTGTATGCAGAATGATCTCAGTCAAGTCAGCCTGGGTTTCACCGTCGACAGCAATCTCCATTGGTCCACACACAATTACAATGGTATGGGAAAACTTTGAAGTCTGTCTTATCAGTTACGCAAACTCGGGCAATTCTGAACCCCAAAGTCAGTCCTGGTCTTTATTTTTTGTTCATCAATGCTTTTTGACCATTGTACTCTATTGCTCCCCTGTTATGTTCCCCTGCTTGGTTTGATGATCATCAGTCGTGCATCATTGATCCCAGTGGGTTCATTAACCACTAATGATCACATCAATTCTTGTGTTAAATTTGCCAGTACGTTTCTAGACGACCCTGTTCATCCACTGCATCCCTTTCCAGATCGTCTTGTTGTTCCCATCCGTCTACACGCTCTTCTTTTCGGCATTTGCCCTCTTGCGTCAATATTCATAATTATTCCACTGTACCCTACCTGACCCGACACCTAACCAAAAAAGAACAGGTAGCAGGTGAACTACGTCAGAACGACATTACTTACATTACATATTATATCAAACTGTATATTTCATTCTACGCCGCGAACAACTTACATCCTGAACTGAAATGTAAGCATATAAGCTTACACAAATTATACAAGTACAAATCATTTTGATAATCATGTTGCTACCTGCCTGAAGTTTGTAGCATAGCACCTACGCTCCATTACACACTGAACTGTTTTCATGAAAACCCCATTCCTACATCAGCTCCACTAAGTGACTTTTCCCAATTCACATATATAGACTTAAGAGCTTCCGGATGCTTTGTCTTAGCTGGAAGCAGACTGATCAATTAAAGATGCTTTCCCAACCGTAAAATTTGTTGAGCAGTTAAGCAGTGTGCCATACACAATCTATTTGTGTCGTTTTTTGTTTGTCTCCGGTGCAACAGTGTTTTCTATTTGACTCAAAATGAAAGGTTCTCGATCGGTTTAGCTTATCTCTCTCTCTCTGTCTGTTTCTCTAATCATTCTAATTGTGAATTCCCGTGCAACGATCCGGATTGTGTCACGTGATGTTCACATTAGCAGTTGATTTAAGCCTACACTTGACACATACTCATGCGGCTCTTGCATTACCAATCAGCCGAAAAGGCACGCGTAGATTTCGCATAATCCATACACCAGCTTCTTTTCTAAACCAATGAATACCGTGCTAAAGCAATATGAGTACGGAATGAAAAATGAGTAGACAGATAGTGAGAGATTGAGATAAAGAAAGATAAACACACAGACAGACAGATAAGGAACTACACACCAAAGTTCCAATCAGTTTTGTGAATCACTTATAATCATCATAATGGTAATCGTTTATAATTTGAAAACAAAAGAACGTATGAGAAGCTACTGCCCTAATAAGCTCACTTGAGGTTATTCCACGATGACTAATACAACTGTATGTGTTCAGCCACGTGTTATGAGTGATCGAATAATGATAAACTACGGTGATGGTGGCAATTCTGTCGGTGGTGATATTGGTGTTAGTGTTGTTGGTGCTGGTATTGCTGTTCATATTCTTGTTGTTGTTGTTGTTGTTGTTGTTGTTGTTGTTGNTGGTGGTGGTGGTGGTGGTGGTGGTGGTGGTGGTGGTGGTGGTGGTGGTGGTGGTGGTGGTGGTGGTGGTGGTGGTGTGGAACTTGATGTTATTTTGTTTTTGTTGGTAGTAGTGGTGGCGTTGGTGTTGTTGTCGTTCATGGTGATGCTGTTATTGTTCTCATTCTTGTTTTGGGTAGTGGTAGTAGTACAAACCTTGAACGATTGGAATAAAACAATTATCAAGGAGCAGGTATTTCCATAAACTCTGCTCGAAGACACTGTTTAATAAATATGAACGGTTGGATTCAAAATGAACCAGCTATGCTGCAAAATTCATACAGCTATTTTGATCACATTTAACATGCCCGACTATGCCTATGAAAATGTAAGAAAACTCACTTACTGGTGACCAATTCTCAACAATAGTTTATTACTTATGTAGTACAGATCACGTAGGGATTAAGCATATTCTAGCGTTGATTCTAATTCGGTCGAATAACAGTAATGTGTGGTTGAAAATGCGGGGCCCGGATAAGAGCTATAGCGGGTCATGTGATAAGCACTGAACTGAAGCACCTATCTGACCGAGTCTGTGATAATATTCGTTCAATCACTTCGATATCGACTAACCACTTGGATGCGGATAGTTCAGGTAAAACAAAAAGAAACGACATGTACTTGACGACTCTTTGCTGGGTAGCGTGCACTGAACCCCTGTAGGTTTATTTGAGAGCACAAGATGAACGAGGCGAAATGCCATTGTACCATATCCTGTGAATGATTTATGTCAATTAAGTGACAGAACAGGTTATATCTCATAGCAAAAGTCCCGTTCTGGTGCAATCACCCTAGATAATGCTCCTTCTGATCCCTCGATACCGTACTGTCTCACTAAAGGACCAATGCAAGTCGTATTCCAACAGCAGGAGCATGAAAAAATGACCATAGACGAGATCAGTCCTGTTATGTCTTATGCCAAGACGTTAGATCGACACATGCGCCTCATTGTCTAGACCCCGACAACTGGAGAAAGAACACTGCTGAGAAACAACAGTCAGAGTGTTTTCTTGATCATGAAACAACAAGTAAATATGTGCGATAAATTGGGCGTACTCAAACGGACGTGGTGATGCGCCAATCAGATCGTGACCTTAACACTCAGATCGATCGATCGGACGACAGCTATTCGATTCGCCTTAGTCATCCAGTGAGGAGTCGATTCGGCTTGGGCGTCACAAGAGCACTTGTGGTGTGACGCGGGTCGCTGCATGGCAGGACGGATTCTGTGCGCTCCGTCCTAACAAATCCAGGCAATTTATTCGTACTGAAAGTGTTAGTTAGCAGTGGCTTACAGAAGGGATTTGTCAATTGGGTTATGTTCAATAAAGACATCGTTCATAAACGACACTATTGTAACGACCTTGGCAAATTGCCATTCCGTTTGAGTCTGAATCGTGTTCTTGTCTCAGTAGACCTTTTGGTTCATGTTATCTGCATTTTCCTCTCTTTCAGATTGTCAGTTCATCCTCTCCACGGAGAAAATCCTGTCTGTCGACGGTCTCAGTCCACACCTAGACTCGGCCCACTTGCGTTTGTCTGGTGTATCCGTTCACGGGGGACATTCTGAAGCACACACGAGCCAAGCATTTCACATTATTCACTGACTTTTTTGTTCTGATTAATCAATATTCGATTGAAAATATATTCTTTCAGAGCTCGCTTGATGAGTTCCGAACTGGTAGGATTATATTGAACAAATGTTCTGGATATACATTGTTAAGCCAAGTAAATCCGGAAGTGCAGTAGATGGTCAGACAAAAGCCAGCGACCAAAACCGCCGCACGAATGTTGATTACAGATATGTTTCTGTTTTATCAGATGGAATTTGTATCGAAGGGGTTATGTTGCAAATTATTATTGAGTGTAGTTAAATTACCAAATGAAACAAGCCTTTCCCGAGATCAATTTCAAAAGAAAAGACCAAATTGCAATACTGTACGATTTATGTCCAGGATGATTTTGCTGCATCTCAACATGGTGCATACTGCAGAAAAATATTAGTTATATAGGAATTTAGCATGGTATCAAAGAAGAGTAACATACAAGTAAAATACAAATTACTAAATGCCGACAGCGTTCATCGGGGATATTCATTTGAACTGATCACCTTTCCATGTCCAAACCTCCCTTCATTCAGTCAGCTGTACTGTCAAAAAGAACGCCAGACTCCAGTTTTGCTTGTGTAATAACTCTTTCCTAGTGCAAACCCGCAAAATTGTCCGGGGTGCTAATTCCCGATCAACAAACTTCACTGTATTTACATACGTATAAACCTGATTTGGTAAGCTGGATCAGTGCGATCTGGATGGATCAAGGATAACACGGAGGCCTCTAGTTCACGTGAGTTGGTTCATCTGCGAGACGATTCGTTAGATATGGACAACTGTCTAGCTCTAACAACGAGGGCACTCGAGTTCACTACTTCCTATGTGTATGGCTGATTGGGTGGTCTGAGAACTGGATGTAAAGAGAAGATCTAAAGGATTGTTCGTCAAAATCAATACTCTTGTGAATAAACAAGGCCTCTAAGAGTATTCGTGATATTGATCGCGCACTTCTTTCCTTATATGAAGGTTCTTCTTGTGTGTGTTGAGCTCTTTAAAATTTAAGAAAGTTCTAATCTGCGGCACAGAATGTTTGAGAATGACAATATCTCAACACCAAACATAATAAGAGATCAGGATTAAAAGGTTTTCAGGAAAAAATATTTTCATCTGGAATCATTTTTTTTCGTCAAGCGAGAGGAGTAAATGCGAAGGAAAATCGCCAAGATCATTTATTTTGCTTTGGATAAAAATGCAACACTCCGGATTGGAGGTAACAGAATCATGATCTTCAATCAATTAATTACCGCCTCTTTCTTGATCATCGATTGCAGTCTATAATGAACGAAATAAAACAAGAGTAAAATAGGTATAAATTCTATTCAGCATGATATAATTAATCATCGATCGATATTTGTCACCTTCCAGGGTTTCGAGCAGAAAGGGCATGCAGCGTTCGGACGAAAAATAAGACAAAATTCAAACTGATTACTTGGTGACGGATATGGTACTCAAATAGTCCTAGAAACAGCTAACATTTTCGTTCCATTACACCGAAGGAACTACCAGCCGAATTCTTTCTTCTGTGATCACGTGATTACCGCGCAGACTTTGCTTTTGCTATAAAAAGACCTACTACTCAATCGATCAAGTAGAACGTAGTTGGATGATCAAGGGGAAATGAAATCTCAAACACGATGGAGTATACTGCACCAATTTGATTGAGGCTGACAGTGTTATTACTAAGTGATTTGCCTTGTATCAAACGTGGGAATGAAGTCATCCTGTAAATGTCAATCAGTGACACAGAATAAGCAACTTAGTGACCGTTCTGTGCACACCAAGTATCAAATAATCTTTTAGTGGTTTATCGATTCATTCAACCAGAATACATCCACTTGATCGAGTTTGATCTCCGATTTGCATCGAATAAGGCATACGGACGTTCTGACTACTTGGAACACCGAATCACCCAGTCTCAGATGTGCAAATTGTGATACACGATTTGCCATGATTGATCCGTGGTATGTATTACCAGCTGAGCTGGTTACGCAATAAGGCCAAGTGCATGGCAAAGTAAATCTGATTGATGGTAGAACCAGTGTAAAATCCATTCACCGGAGCCAACTGTGCTTGCCTCCTCCCCCCTCCACCCCCAAACAGGCATGAACTGTTACAAATTTGGGCAATTTTCAAGTTGCCATTCATCAATTGTTCAAACAGTTCATTTCGTTCCGCATTGCTCATTTCTAACCTTTATCGACGATTAGGGGCGAGGAAAAGCGACGCACAAGTGTTTCACATTCCTTAATCACATTTCAAATGGCACAGGTGTACATGATTCACTCAAAAGCAGAAATTACACATTGATGTTATTGTTAACGGAGAAACACCGGGCATTGGTGATCACACAGTCTACTCCAAGAAGAAGTCAATCAATCTCCAAAGGAGAGGCAGTACCAGTTGATTAATTGCACTCAAATCTGTTCAGCTCAACGGAATGCATGTTTTGGTGGTAACGGCCTTTTGCTGGGTTCGAGGTTTACTGGTGTTGTGAGGTACTACTCAAACTTGTGAGTAGCTTGCATGCTGAAGAAGCGGTGATTACTAACACACGGAATCCGCAACTGGATTAAAGGAATTAGTGTTGCAACTACCGAAGAGACAAACACAATATCAGGCTGACGATCAGCGATGGAAACAGGTTCACGAAAGCAATAATCAATTGTTGCAAATTTGGTGTTTCATTCGGTCACCTTATTTACTCCTTCCGAAGCTGTACTTCAAATTAATAACTTTTCTTGTCCGAGTACTGTTTCCTTATTTATAATACTAGAAAAACGTGAATTGGAATAGATTACTGTAACCTTTCGAACTTGTTTTCCTAATTTTATCTTCAGGCATTTACAGATACAAACATATTAAATACTTTAACTTACAGAATAGGTAGTGGGAAGTTCTACCCACTTCAAAGTGATCAGATTGGTCGCCAAATCGGATCTCGTTGTTGCAACAGCAGAGATTCACTCCTCTTAGGTCAACTTGAGTAGTGCTCTGATCAGTTTGTGCTGTGCATTTTGTCCTTTAGTCAAATTCAACACGGACAAATCTGACTTTTGTCAAGCTTGTCAGGACACGTGATCTGCACATGAAAAGCCTGAATTCACAACAGATACCATCTGCGGTCTCATTTGTAGAGGCTGGAGAACATTACTCCAATAGAGGGGTATTTAAGATGCACGACACATTTGCCTGGACAAATAGTCATTATGTTGAAATTCTTAGAAATGAAATATTGTTTCCCAAACGCAATCTTACATTTAGACCTGTATTCACAGCATTCCGATGAATGAAAAGAAAAGAAAAAAAACCAGTTACGAATCAATACGTAATTTATTTTTAAATTCAGTTTTTACTTGTCGCATAGAAAAATCTTAATATCGTTTTCCCCCACCTCAGGATATTGTTTCTCATTCACAATACTGTTTACTCGTTCTTCAGTAACTGATATATCAGAGTATGAGACTTGATTCAAGTTGATCTCGCCCACGGTTGTCCGCAAACAACGCAGAAACACAACGATCAAGCAATGAGATTGCCTTTAGTTTTACTTTTCCCTCTTCAACCCACCCGTATCGTCTTGAAAACAGAATAAATTTATAAATATCTAAATCGGTTGAGCCATTCGCACAACGTGATGACCATCACCGTGTAGCTCAAGGGTAGGGGTTTGAAGTCTCAACCCAAATGTTCGAGCCCCAAACAGGACGAAACGGCTGTCCAGTTCTCTTTTTCGGTTGTCACAAATATTTCTATCGCATCCAAAGTGAGTTTTCGATATTATTTATTGAACACCAACCGAAACTCAATGAACTGAACGAGTCGAATCAGCATAACAATCCGTGCTCGTGGATGCACTCGCTTGGCTGTTATCAGCAAATTGCTTAAATCAAATAAACTCTGTTGATGGTGCTTGACACGACTGTGATGTAATAAAGTCCATCCAGCCCACTTTGTATGGGTGCCAAATGAACGTATCAGATGTCAGTTTAATACAAGTACCCCTTTATGAGTCAAACCTCTGATCTATTGTTCCAGTTTCTGGACAAGGGACCACAGGCTAACATTATCGATCAATCAAATGCTATGCAATTCAAACGAAAGTCGTATAACTCGGAGGAGAAGAACAGTGACTGGTTGATATTCGTTAAACTAATGATATTTACATTTATATATTATTCATTTCCATTGACTTCTTTCAATAAATGAACCGTTACTTCTGTGGCTGTCTTCTTGCACCTTGGTCAAGGTCATGAAATAAAAAGAGAAGTGTTTCAAGATTGTGGATCATATCTGTTGTAAATTGATGTCTCATGAACAGATCACGTGTTTTTACAAGCTGAACTGTGATCTGAACTCACTTCTTGCTGAATTCGGTGAAATGAAAATGCTACAGTTTTAGTTTCAGTGTTTAAAAACCATTAACCATGCACGTTCCTGCGGCGGTTTTCTTTATGGTTACTGTCCCCTTAGCGACCATCTGCGAGTAGACTCAAACACAAGATATAAAATTCAGATGGACGAAGGTTGTGAGGAGGGAGAGGGGATGAGTTGATCCACGAATGCCACTGTTTTTGACATTCAGTCTATTCACCCAAGATCCTTAACTAGAGAGGTTAACAATACCTATACCACCGTCCAAATCTTTTGGTTAAGGTGTTTATAGCTTCATTCAAGGTCTTCCGTTGAGTTGTTTTTTTTTTGCATCTACTACCGATCTCGATAAACATCGCGCGCCGTAGTAACCTATTTGGTGACACGAACAATATATTCCCGAACCAGGTCTATATAGGTCATTCAATCACTTACCCCAATGGACCAATTGGAAAAAAAACATTGAAATGTCTACTAAATGAAAAACAAATGAACGTAATAAAAAAACCCAAGGTAACAGGTGATTTTCCAAGTCAGTATCGATATTCAGTCAATTTACTAAAAAACGAACAAAATTAGCGATGATGTTGCATCCGTATGTGGTGGTACATGCACGAAAAATCCCAACTTTGGAACGCGTACTCCAATGAGACACAGATGTGTTCTTCATTTGACAGTATATGGTTGATAAATCGATTACATATATCCAAATGCTTGTTCACAATGAAGTCACCCAAAACGGTGTTTGAAAGTGAACTGCAACTGGAAAGAAGTATAAGAAATCTGGAAAGTAGAATAAAGTTTTTCTCCTTTTAAACCGGGAAAACATACCGGAGTACAGTACAGTACAACTAGTGTGTGTGTGAGAATGTAGGCTGTCACAAATTTAATAATGACATTTCGCGTAACACCGAGCTTTTTAAGCCCAAAAGCGTATTAGGATAATCGACAAATCTTATTGTAAATGTGTTCAACATGTTTGGACCAAGAAAGTTTATGTGACAAAGTAACTTCAAGATATTTGATAGAGTCACTTTTGGGGATCATATTATCGTTAACATTAATTTTGGGCTGGTTACTAAAACAGGGTTTAGTGATGAGTGCCTGTGTTAAAGCTAGAAATGAACATCTACACATTTATTGACTTTGAGCAGCAAAGATCGTGGCGTAGAC